TTGCAAATTAAATGGGAACTTATGTTTGGCACTTATATTTGTCCACTTGAAATATCGTTCCAAGTAAAAAAAGAAATGTTTTAAAAATGTAGTCAATTATATCAGAAGTTAATCGGATTATTTATAATTCTATCCGCACACATACATATTAGCAATTAATCATTGAAGCCCATAAGTGGTGAAGTTAGTTATTTTCGAAATTTATGTGGACAAAAGTTCTTAATCATTACAAGAATTTAAATTTGTTGATCACCTTTCGATTATGCCAAGAACAAACAGAATACGCATATTAAGCTGGTCAGATCAGCGAAAACTGCAGTTAAATAGCAAGTTAACTTGCTTACCTCAATTTATTCTTAATACTCATTACATATACGTCCTTGTTCTATGTTCACCAATTCAAATAAAATATATCGATTGTCAAAGTATTTAGATCTTTATGGAAATGATCCATATCCATGAAAAAATATCAAAAATGCAGGCAAATAGGGTTAAAACGTTAACAAGCCACCTTCCTAAATCAACAAATTATGATCCATTAGCTTAGATGTCAACACCTGAAGTTAGCGATCCACTCATACTTTACATCAAATAAAAATTTCCATATTTAACTCAAAAGTGATATCACACCTAACTAAATGAGTATCGGCTGCAGTAATAACAACGACGTTAGAAAGCGTAAGTAGTACTACAAGGTTTTTTTTGAGTCTATGCAAATCGCTGACTAATTAACTCAACACCCTAATTCTTTCTGAAACTTATTTGAATTCATTTCAAAAAGCTTAAGGAATAATTGTTTATTACACTTAAAAGGCGCTATTTTACTTAATCAACGTTTCTCGCTCCCCCTATCCTCTCTTTTCTCATTATAAATTATTTTGTTCAATTCTATTTTCTCCTTTCATATCAGCTCATATTTTTGCATCCTTCAAATCATTTTCAGGCCGGAATAATAATAATAATAATAAGTGCTTGTTGACACTAGGAAGCCTCTACTTCTTTTACAACATTTCTTCTACAAATGCTTAAGCAAAATGCGATATCTTGAAAAAATCATCATTTCAAATCTGGAAAAATAAACAAAAATGAACTTTTACTCTTCAATCCTCAATAACAAATCTCTTTATGAGAAGATATATTGATAATTACAATGTAAGAAAAAGTGAACGCAATGCTTGTGTCTAATTTCGAGTATTTCATTAGCACATTCATGCCCACTTTCTAATTATATTTTAAGGTTTTGTCAGAAGTTCAGAAGTTGCCAAATATTCGTCGTCTTTCCCTTCAAAACTTATTATTGTTTTGCTTATCTGAACATTTTCATTTTTTTTTTAATTCTACGCTCATTTGAAACTAATTTTTGAACATAAATTTGATTTCACTTAGTTATTTCCAATTTACTCTCACTTGCAATTAATTATCGCTCGCTCAGATTGGTATAGCAAAAGTATATTGCAATAATTTCCCGCATTTCATAGGGAGAATATTTTTTCTTATCATTATCGAAGTCTTAATCATTTGTCAGGGTCATTACCAGTGCGTATCATTTATCTTTAATTAAATATTGTTTTCTGCATTTCATATCATTTTTTTCATAATAACAGAGCACATTGTTAAAGTGAGAATTGTTTAGTGATGATTAGCCAAGATTCCATAGACAAATAAGATAACAGTTGTTTTTAGGCTTAAAAAGTTCATGGTCACCTGTATTTTTTAAAAAGACTGGTTTTGTTGTAGTACTTTCTTACCATGTTTTCTCTCGATAATTCTTAGAAGTGAGAGGGATTTTTTTGAGGCAGAAGCCTCAATAACACAATTATCAGTAAGTTTAAAACTGACCCTCCGGTACACCCGGAATCCCAGAAAAATTATTTGGAGACACATTAAATTTTTTAAGATTTCGGATAAAAAACTTGGAAGTAAAAAAGAAAAGGATGAAATTAAGATATTGATAAAACAAAAAAATTATTTCAATTTTACTCTTTTCTTTTCACAAACTTAATAGTCGTTTTAAAGATGCCTTTACTAAACTTGCTGAAAACAACATGTAAAATGGCAAAAACTTTTTAACTGAATTATGAAGTCATAGATTTCCCACTTTGAAGAAAATTTAGACCCAGAGAAACTTAATAAATAAATCAATATCCAGTAAGTGATTTTCTTCTTTAAAAATAGTATAATAAAAGGTCATGATATGTCACTAGTATAGACTTAGATTATATTTTTATTTAAATTAGAAGGATGAGTGCACATCTCGTGAAATAGCCTCAGGATATCATGATCATAGGTACTTTTGAGTAAGGCACTGATTTAAATATGAAGTGAAGAACGGGATTAAACAGTAGGAGACATTATTTATCAACAACAATTTAACCAAACCTCCTCTCTCTCTCTCTCTCTCTCTCCAAAAAAAGAAAAGAAAAAAGCATCAGTTGCAGTGATGCAAATAATTGGTTATCTCATTTTCAACGCATCTATCTTTTTTTCTTTTCCATATATTTACTTTTTTTAAAAATATATTGAACTAAAACGAAATGACATCATTATTACTCCTTTCGCTCGTTTACCTCTCGCATTTTTCATATTTCAGAATGTCAATGAATCGTATAGTATGAAAATTTCCTAAATTATAATTTCATTTCTCTTTTGCTTCACTTTTACGACATTATCCATCATTTCAAGGAATTCTTCCAGATATAGTATAGTATTACTTTGCATACTCGCTGGCAAATTTCTCCATAACTTTTTATTATCCTGGAAAAAGAGAACAGAAAACTTGAAATATTAACTCAGAGTTGTTTGAAAGATCAAATTTTTCTAATTCTAATTGAAGTATCCCATAGCAAAAGACTATTGGATGCGTGAGAAATCGCCGTGCTGGAAATTATGCTTCAAATAAAAGTATCAAAATTAATTTTTTGCCTTTAAAAAATTTGAAGCGTTTGGAGTTCTTTTTCATTGAAAAAATTGCATAATTCGTTGAATCAAAAAGGGAATTTTATAAAACTTTTAATGACATCAATTTAGAATAATTATTTACACTAACAATTTTTTTTGTTTTCTTTTAATTACTGCATTTCATTGTTTTACCGCGCGTTTTTCAATCCAACGCCATTTCTAAGGAACTTATTCTAGAATTGAAAGGAAAAACTCCTGTGCAAACATCTTCATCAAAGTTAATAATAAAGGTTTGTTCTACACTAATAATTTATTCGCTCAAGTTCTCGATAAGTTCGTTTTTTAGAGACCTTAATCGAATAGTTGCAAAATAAATTTGCTTAAAAAAGCGAAAAAAAATCTAGCAAAATGGTGTTGTTGAATTTTACAAAATATATTGAATGTTAACCCATAATATTTAGCCTAGTTTACTTTCTACAAGTTAGATTAATCTTGCTTAGTATGCATGATTTTCGCACGTTTTTTTGTCAATTAAAGTTTGAGTAAAAAACTAAAATTTTAATTGTTTTCCAGTGAAATTTAAATTTCTTGGTTGCAAATCAAAAACATTACTTATTTAATTATTTACTGAGATAATGACAGCAGCAGAATAAGAGCTAGAATGTCTAGATAAGAGCTAGAAGAATGAAAATTAACAGAAAACAATAGAAATAATTATTAAAAAAAAAACAACAGAAATAATTATTAAAAAATTTTTCTTATTCCACTTTTAAACGCAAAATTATCCATCAAAAATACATTTTCATGACAGGTATCTCAAGTACTTTAGAAAAGCATCATTTTAATGGATTTATATTTAGATTTTTACTTTCTTTTTTTCAAATCCATATAGCTAGCTATCCATTAATTTATTTGCGTGGATCCTGTTTGTTCATTTAGCTTTTATTATTCGCGGAAAAGGGAAGGATGTAAGTAGCATCAAGCGAAAACTTGGTTATGTAAGGAAAACAAGAAATGAGGAGGGATATTCGTTAGATCATAAAACATTCAGCTTAGGCTGAATAATATTCAATATTAAAGCACTGCAACGTTGTTCGGTTGTTCGAAGGAAATAATGCTAATTATCTTTTTCTTTCCTGAAAATAGGAAAATCTCTTTGAAATAGTTCTAGGCATATTCTCTTCTAGATAGAAAAAAGAATGAAATTTCATTTAATTTGCGAAAAAATAGACCATTTCGTTTCCCTAAATTTTTTTAAATATATCATCACTCTGAACGAAATTATACAATTATGAAAATAAATGCATCGAAGTAAAAGTGATCGTAAATGAAGTTTTCACTAACAGAGAAGTCATTGCTCATTTGTCGCAAAAGTTTTATTAAATTCTTTCTTTCGCAAAAAAATAAAAAATTCACCCTTGTCAAAACTTTCCATTTAATTAGTGCAATAAAATCACTCACATCTATAAAGAGAAAGTCGAAGTCCAATATCATTTATGTGATAGGTCTATCGAGTGCGTGTATTATTAATACGAAAGATTCCCTAGTATTTTCCGTCTTAAGTAATTTTAATTTCATGCTTTTCTTTACACATTTATTTCTTCTTCCTAGCTCTTTTGGTTTACAAAGAATTACAACACTGTATTCTTTATTTCTTTAATCTGTCAGTATTAAGTTTATTGAAGTTGGAAAACTTCATAGAATATCTTACATTTTAAAATTTATACCCAATTAAAACATGTTGTCAATTCATTATAAAAATCACGCAAATTTGTATCAGGTTTGCATCGATTATCAATGCTCACTGGACATTTTCATACTATCATGTTACCTAGATATTCAATTTCACGCAAATGAAAGATTTCATGGAAAAATTTCCATTAGTTTGAAATCAATGTCTCGCTCTCCGTCGGATGATTCCATTAATGTCATTTATGTTACAACAAGAACTTTTACAAAAACAAAATAAAGGAAAACTGTTCATTAGGAAAGTAAAGGAAAATTGCTTGCATTATACCTGATAAATATGCTGGTTTTGAAGTTTGACAAGAACAGAGAATTTCAGAAGTGAATCATAGCTTTAAGTATTGGTGTACTTGCCAATGAGTCACACAGATAACGATTTGTCGCATATACTGACGAACATCGAAGATAAACAAAAAATATCCAACGTTTCTGTCGAATCCAAACTGAGTTCGAAAGTAACATTCAGTGCTGGATCTGTCGCATTCGAATACAGGTAACTGCAAAGATTTATAAAAGAAAAAGAATTCAAAATTTTTAATTGGAAGTCATTATAAACTAAAATGAATTCAAGCAATTGACAAGATTCGAAATATCATTTGAACGAAGGCAAATACATAAATAAGTTCACAATTGAATAGTTATACAAATACTTTGTAGTGAATTTAATTCAGAGCATACTTCATAAAGTACAAACTAATTTAGGAGTTTGAGCGGTTCGAATCAATTAGTTGAATAAATTTACTTTGAAAATTAACAAAAAATTAATAATGAAATATTGTTCGCTACGCATATTTAAACAAACCTTTTTGGAAGTATCTAAAATTTTACAAGATCAATTAGAAAGGTTCAAAATTCGAATTAGAAAGTGATTTCAGATCCAGAATTCAGTGTTATTGACGGAAATTTACCGGAATAGAATTATGAAATATTTCTCCATAATTGTTCTAAGTTTCATACAAAGAAATTTGAGATCAAATGAAACAGATCGACTAACGGAGGAAAAAGAATACCATCAAGTGGCAATCAACGACAACAGCAATAGCAATGGCGACGATCGCGAAGGATGGGACAATAAAATGCAATTTCTCATGGGTGTTATATCCTATGCTGTTGGTCTCGGCAATGTATGGCGATTTCCCTACCTATGCCAGAAAAATGGAGGAGGCTAGTAATATCAGTACTACACATAAAAAGGAAAAGTCAAACAAGTTAAACAAACCCGAGCTAGGACGTATTAACTGATTAACCGCCACTTTCAGTTGATAATAATTTCAAGCAAAAGTGGGAAGAACACATAAAATGAAGCATAAATTTAGCGAAAGTTATGAGAACTTAAACTTCGAGCCGATTTCAGGTGCATTTTTGATACCTTACTGTATGATGATGTTTGTGGAAGGCACACCATTGTTTCTTGTTGAACTTGGCATTGGACAAAAACTGCGATTAGGATCTTTTGGTGTCTGGAACGAAATTCATCCATATTTTGGAGGTAAGCAAATGATTTTGTCATTATTCGCAGTATTAAATTAAAGTGGTTGACTGGTTTTTCGACGGTATTTTGAAATTGAGACTTGAAAGTTTCTCAAGAATAAAATTTGGTACTCTTTGATAAGTTTTTCTTTTTTAAACAATTTAAGGTGTTGGAGTGTCGGCAGCCATTGTTTCGTTTCTTGTCGCTCTTTATTATAACGTTATCATTACGTGGTGCATATATTATTTGTACAGATCATTCGATATCAATTTACCGTGGAGCGTATGTTTCTCTTTAAATTTTTACCTTTCATAATTGTTAACAAGTAGTGCATAATGATAGGTGCGAGATTACAGAGTTGTCCGGAAATAAATGGTTCTGTGGTGGAGGAATGCCAAATGTCCAGTTCCACAACGAGTTATTTCTGGAGCCGTAAAGCAATCGATACAAGCGAGTAAAACTTTGTTGTAATCTCATGATTTACAAACTTTTAAGCAAAAAAAGAGTACTGTTCTTTCTAACTCCTTATCTGAGATTTGCTTGAAATTTCGAATGCATCAGTTGAATTCTTGGGAAATTTTCTAATTTCGATTGTTATTAAATAGAATATTTTAAATGACCATCTTATATTATTTATTTATATGAATAATTTAGGATCAAATAATGAGATTATAAAATACAACTGCTTTCTATTTATATCAGGTCAATATGCGATTTTGATGGCTTTGTGCCTCATATGACAATTTCACTGATTCTTGCCTGGGTGTTAATCTACCTCTGCGTTATGCGTGGCATCAAAAGTAGTGGAAAGGCATGTCACATTTCATTATTCACTACTTCAAGTTTAGCTTCTAAGGGTTTTCCGAAGCTTCAGATATTTGTAATTTAGAACAATTCGTCACTCGGAAGTTTTCATATCTACAGGTTATGTATCTTACGGCTACTTTTCCATATGCTGTTACCACCATATTCTTGATTAGATCACTGATGCTGGATGGTGCAGCTGAGGGTTTGAAGTACATGATGAATCCTGATGTAAGTCTTATTTTTTCTAAAGCAAATAAATCAACGTTACTAAATGAGTTAGAGATAGTTAGGCTATCCTCCAGGAATTTTTGTATGAAAACAAAACACCATTTTTGCACTAGTAAAATTCGATATTCTGAACACATCAAAATTAATAATTTGATGATTGTAAGATAAGAAAATACACGAATCATTTTTCCAAGAATTATTTCAGCTGAAGCGTTTATGGGATCCAAATGTTTGGATGGAAGCTGCGACACAAGTATTTTATAGCATGGGATTAGGTTTTGGTGGTAAAAATTTCAATCAGATGAAAAATAAACTGCGAGGAGAAAAAAAACAACGTTCATGAAAGAAACTTGGAGTGTCATGAAATTCATTTCGAACATTTTCATTCTAAACTCACAGTTAAGAATAACACTTGCTATGAAGGAAAAAATCACTTGCAAGTGAATTTCAGGACTCATAGCATTTGGATCTTATAATCCAGAAAAGAACAACTGTAAAAAAGATGTTCTTTGGCTTTCTCTTTGCAATCTCATCACCTCACTTTATATGGCTATTGTTATATTTTGTGTTCTTGGCTACATGGGTGTACAAAATTACAACAGTTGTATAAAACGGTAATTATAATCTCATTTTAGGTTCTTAAAAAAACTGAAGTTTCGAAGATGACATTTAGACGGGTTGGCAGAGTTATGACATTTCAATTTTTTTTCAAATAATGCATAAAGGATGCAAAGAAAAAGAATGAGGAATATTTCCGAAATTTGTATGATATTTGCATTCCAGAGATATGGCCAATATTCTTGTCATATATCCGAATAAATTCCGCAACTTTGATGAAATCCAGGGCAATATATCGGTAGAAGAATATACAATGTGGATGTACCGCGATTTCCAAAATACCGAATATTCCCTTCTGGCCAATGTAACAAGTCACTGTAATTATAAAGAAATCATTTCACAGGTTATCATCGTCCTATTTTGCTGCTTTTACTGTTTTGCATATTTCTTTCATATGCTTTCATTCTTTTATCACATGTTTTTGCCAAGGAAGTTTCTCGATGCATACAAATATTCGAAATTTCAGGCAGCTGAAGGGACGGGTTTAGCGTTTGTTATATTCACAGAAGCAATAAACCAATTTCCGTTTCCACCTTTTTGGGCAGTAATGTTTTTCCTGATGCTTTTAATGCTTGGCATGGGTTCAATGTTCGGCACCTTGGAAGGTGTGATAACATCACTAAATGATAGCAAACTTATTAATTTGAAAAAACCCGTTCTTACGGCTATTTTATGTTCTATTGCTTGTGGTATTGGTCTTGTTTTCACAACACACTCCGGTCAGGTATGACGTTCTCGATATTTCTCCAAATTGCTTTTAGTATTATCCAGTTTCCTTAATGATTTTATTGTTTATTTATTTATGCTGTTATGAAGAGCAGGAGTACCAAGGAACTAGCGTAATAATTCGAAATATCTAATTTTTCGCTCTCTTTCAAATTTCAGTACTGGGTTATGCTGTTTGATCATTTTGCCGGCACTTATGCCCTTATGGGTGTAGCTTTTTTCGAAGTTTTGGCTGTGATATACGTTTACGGATGGCAAAAGTTAGCTTTTTCTCTTAAGTTAATCCCTTAAGTCACTATTTTAAAAGTTTTATTTGCATTAAAATGAGCTTGGCTGAGGTGGGGGAATCTGAATTGGTTTCTCATTTAAAATCGATTGGCAATATCGTTTCAGTTTTGTTCGAGATTTAGTGGATATGACTGGTGAAGAAATTTCATGTTATTGGACAATAACATGGCGCTTCATATCACCAGTCCTCATGCTTGTTCTGTTCTTCGCTTCCATTATCAAATCTTTCATTGATTTACCAAAATATTCTGTTTACAATTCTCAGACAGCAAGTTTAACGTTTATTCTATTAGTTTTTTGACTTTTTAATTATTTTTAGTTGTCAGCTTATTGCTATTGTAAATCATTCATTAAACTTACTTTCCTAGTTAGAAATATTTTCCATTTTCAGACACACCAAAATGCGCAAACATATCCTGAATGGGTTTTGATTATTGGCGGTTCAATGGTATTATTTGCTATTGCTCCAGTGCCGTTGATTTGGTTTATTCGAAAATTCAAAATTATGAATTTAGGGATGGATATACCTACGGTGCTTTTTCATTTCCAAATCAATCTTCAAATCATTCATCTTTTAAATCATTAAGCATCAATACGGGGCAGCAGTTAAAATTAATATTGTCAAAAGAAATTTTTTAGCCAATTTTTTTTCATATTTCTTACTTCTTCAAATTTGAGACAATTTTTCAGCCTTTTCATACTTCTTCAAATTTGAGACAATTTTTCAGCCTCAAAAATGTCTAAATGCAACACCGAATACGAAATGTATTCTCAGGTCTGTATCAGCGGTCACTTAAGCTTCCATTAAAAGCAATGCCAAGTTGTTGCTGTTGAAAGTTTCTTCTGAGAGTAACATGCCGGCTGACGTCCAGCTAGCCTGAATTGCTCTTTATCGCAATTGAAGTGCACCAAATTCGACTAACTGATATTAAAACTTGCCTTTATTCGAATTTTGACTGACATCTCAAAATTTATGACCTGATAAAGACTTTCTCCCCTATTATCTCCTCCTTCACCTATACTATCACTTTCGTAACTATTTACATTAGATTTGTATATACTGTTGTAGCAGTAAACATACTATCGTCTTTCGATGAATCGTAAATTCTTTCCGTTTTATTGCTATCAGACGAAAAAGTTACCGTTATAACTTTTGATGAACTGATAGAATTCAGAAATGAGATTTCAACAAAATCATTTCAATTAAGATCCATTCAATGAATTTGTAAATGTAGATTATAAAATGTAGATTATAATAACGACATACTAATGATCGTTTTTCCTCACTCTTTTAACTTCCAATAAAGTAAGTCGCAGTGACTATTTGTAATTTGTGGGGGAAATTCCTATTTGGCGAAAATTTAATTACGCTAAATAAACCATCACGCTCAACCCACACTTTCCTTCATTTGATGTCTTTATTGTTGTTGAATGTGCCATAGAATATGCAATCATTGTTTATATTATTTGCAAATCACTAATATCCCTCTTATCATTTTCATATTTTTCTCATCAACCATATTATTATTGCTCTTATTATTACTATTGTTATTGTAACTACCATTTTGCTGTTATTTTAACAAAAAAGATATTAATTAATCAAAATTTGATATATTTCCAGTTCCTTTTGATATTTTGTGAATCCGTTCATTAAATCTACTTAATTGTCACTTATGCTTAGTATTTTTTGATATTGTAGTCTTGAAGTCTGTTTTTGTGTTATTTATTCAACCTTCCAGTAGTTCTCGTTTAAATATAACAATAGATTATTTCAAAGTGTTAGTTTGCAAATATGTTCAAATGCAGTTGTAACTCCAAAGGTTGATATTGCAGTTATGAACTTGGTGGATTTGGTTGATTGTCATCGTATTAAAAAGAGATATCCCCATCTTAATTATCAATTAAAATTTACGAGTTTCTGGTTGATATTAAAAGTTTTTCCTGCTTGTAAGCGAATAGAACTGAAAATAGAGTTTTGGAGAAAACCAAAAAGATTTGACGAAGTCATTGATATTAAGAAAGCAAATAACCGAAAGTTTCATCCAACTGTGCAACAATTCTGATATCACTCAAAATATGTATATAAGCAGTTTATAAATTACACGTATTTGTTTGTGAAGTACCATAGAATTTAATAAATTTTCATCCATGCAGAGTTGTTTCATGCAGCATACTGGTTCAAACTCCGTTTTATTTCGGGCACTACCAAATCACTCATTATAATGCATTCCTTAAAGATATCAGCAAGACGTACCAATGAAGAGTTCATCCAAGTTGAAAACTGAAAAATTTTTCTAGCTAGTCTGAATTGCAAAACTCATGAATACCTATAGTTAATAGCAAAATCATATGAAATAACTTGGAAACCCTCTAGAATTCATGACAGTGTTATATTGCGGGAATCTGATGGCGACAGTTGTTTGGTGAAATCAATCAATGTAGTCAATGTATTTGCTCTGTGTTATATACATTATTTGATTGGCTTCAGTTTTTTTGAATTTTTGTTCGCTGCATGTTAAAATACATTTTCAAATTAAAACATTAGTAAACTGTGTGACAGAAATTTTGCAGATGGTTTTCTTGGAATTAGCAAACATTCAATAGTTTTAAAAAGAAATGAAAGATGACGTTATCATTTTCAGTTTTTCTATGCTAGGACTAACCTTTCGCTTAAAGTTAAGGATTCTAAATTCTTGATTGATTTCAATTCAGTATGATGTCGCAAATAGTAATTTCATTTTTCATTGGCATTTATTATTAGTTAACAATGAAGTCGATAGAGCCAAATCAATTCAACAATTATTACACGAGAACAAAATAAAAGTTGGTTTACCGAGAACATATATAAAAAATAATTGAATTTTATTTAATCGATACTGCACATTACATTTGCAGTTGTATAAGTCACTAGAAGAGATCGTAAAGTCAAACTTTTCTAACTTATTTCGAGCATCGAATAACTTTTATTTTGACAATTCATTAAAATTTTGCAAGAATATGAAAATAAATCGCTTGCAAATTGCATGAATGAGCTTTCATCACTGATTTTGTTCACGATCATACAGTACTGTTATTTAAATTTCTCTGAAATTTCTGTAATTATAATTTGATCGACTATGGGAATAATGTAGATCATGCAAGCAAATAAATTCCATTCAATAATGTGAAGAAATCCAAAACTTCATTAGTTAAATTCCTCAAATACATACAAGCACTTGGTACAGAACTATTAATATAGTAATTATAAAGTAAAGTACATTCCTGACCCAGTAATTTAATTTTAATTTGAAATTTTGCGTCAGTCAAGCTAAAATTGTGCGCCACTGCGCTAAAACAACCGCTTTAAGGATTTGAAGTTGGAAACTATTCAAAAATTCCGAAATTTCTTTTTACAAAAACGATTAAATTATAATTGAAATTACTTGTTCAATAACCAGATAGGTCGCAATATTAATAATCAAAATGGAAATAAAATAAGCATAAATCGCCCAGAAAGAAAATGGGATATACGAGGAGGTTTAAATCGTTAAAAGATTTACTAAATTTATTCTGTGAAAAAATTAAATTAAAGGAAGGTAACGTCGTAATTAACAAAAAGCTGCTCGAAAAATAGTTCAGCATTATTTTGGTATTTAACAGTGTCTTTGACGAATTCATCGTCGGAGGACTGATGCAGACATGGCGTTGTTTTCATGAGCGGTGAATTCTCGTGACTGCCAGCGTTATTGGTTGTACAAGTGATATCATTTTTATCACTCTTTAAGCTGCATTTGGCGGAAAATTTCTTGATTATTACCGGAGAGACGGTTCCGTACTGCTGGGTAATCTGACTCGAAGTTACAGAATTCTTTTCTGCTGAAGCTCTGAGTGTTAACTATTAATCTTTCATTTTTACTAAAGACGGAAAATTTATTTTAAACAAGGTTTGGAATTTCTGAATAACGGATGTAACAGAATATTCAATAAATGAAAGGCAGAAATATTTTATGATAATGCGAATTATATGAGTTAGTTTTCGAAAGATGAAAGAAATTTATGCAAACTGTGGGACGCGGAGAATCTGAAACGAAGAGGTAAATTAAAAGTAAAATTGGGGAACTTCGTTAAAATTTACCCTTATTTAGACAACCACTCAAATAAACAAATGAAAACGTATAAGAGAGAAAAAATGAATAAGAGAAATTTACCTTCAACAATATTACAGGATGCAAGGTGAGGGTAGGACGAGCAATCAATCACAGAGGTAGAAAGAGTGTTATTTGGTGCTTCCATGGTGCCTATTTCGCTGAAATTTGAGAGAATGTACAAAAGAATACAACCAACCGTTCATGTAACAAACATGATGAAATTTAAAATGTTATTGAAATTAAATAAACTTTGTTAAAAAAAGAACTTTTTTTAATGGATTTGAAGTACCTCATAAACTTCATTTGTTGATTGACCAAACGACCAACAGCACTTTGTCGCATGCGAACATTTTTATATGGTTGACATACGGCAATATATACCTTTGGCGCAAAAAAGCAACACAGTGCTACAGTACCGCTCATCGAAATGCACATGCACAAACTTGTCATCTGTATCTATAAGGATAAATTGTGTAAATTAGCAACATTAAAGAGCATAGCGAGTGCTATCAAATATGGTGAATGATAAATAATCCAGGTGTACTATTGTTTAGTGCGTTGATGGTAAGAAGCAACGTAAGTCCTCAATTTGTTCCAAAATTTATACATCTCATTTCTTCAGTCTCCGTCTATCAACTTATTGTCTGGAACTTTATCTTCAATTTTTTTTCAAGCACCTTCAAATACATCGGTCTTATTTCTTTATCGTGAAATAAGAGCATGTCTTGCTCTGAGAAATTTCCCGATGATTTCCGATTTTCTGTACGATGTTTTTTATATACCATTCATCTTAGCGGCACTTACAAAGTAAATATTACAGGAAGCTCTGCCAATCACAAAACTTTAATGCTCAATAACATGAGCACGGAAAACAACAGTAACACCAGCCAACATATGTGTGGAAAATGACATTTTAATTTCATCTTAGTTGGAGAATCGTCTTGATGGATGCATCCATCAAGCTCAAGTTCAGAAGACCTACTTAACACATTTAATTTTTCCTTTTTATCTGCAGTACAATTTAAAGACGTGCATATTTACTGTGCAGTTTGAGGAGATATGCAGTACAAAAATATGTTACATACACGCATGCAACCACTTCAGATCTCTCGTTGGGTGAAAATGAGCAGATGGACGGGCAGTACTCTTAACAACAAAAGAAATAAGCAAGCTGCAGGAGAAAATTGGAAGCAATAAACTTAGAGGTCGCCCTCTTTCTGTTCATTTGATGACGACGAATCGTCAGCGGGTTCAAGAGAACTTAATGCGAAATCCGCATGCGTATTGTTTTGACTGACTTGCAAACGATTTTTCCCCGTTTCAATGATTTGTTCACCTCGACGTAGACGCGTGCGTGACCAACGGTCAACATTAATGTCAACCCATGGGGAATGTAACGTCAATGCATGCGTGGCTGCACATAGTGAGATGAAATTGCGTCCACAATAAATTCGCGTATCACCATTGTCCATATCGTGTTTCACCTTAACCCCTTGGACGATCGCACTCAGCTGATTGCCCTTCTGATCTACAGTTGCCTGACGGGCTGCTAGCATGCATCGTTCATGCTTATCATCGTAGATGCCAAGCACATCACCACTACCAATATCATCCAGAAATAGCGCCACTGTTGCATCGATATCGCGACGTAAACAAAATTTATCCGTTGCCACGCACAAATTTTCATGGGTTACCACTTCATGTTTCGTTATAGAATGGACTAGCGTCGATGGGTCAGTTCCCTTCACTCCAACTACATGGACAGTGTCACTGGTAGCTCGAACCCGTGGACCTTGTGCCATATCGAACAGCACCTAAAGTCCAATAATAGTATCATTTTTGTTTTTCCATTTTTGTGTTTTTTTGTGAGTTATTTTGCAAAAATTTTGACCCTAAAAAATCCTACTGACCTGTGTCTCTTGTTGGACAATTTCAATAGATGGATGATGCACAGCAGCAACCCGTCCACCACTACAAATAGTTGCCGCAACTCCACCAATACGACAAACACGTATATGTTTGTGCAGCGTAATTTCGACGACTACATCATGGGACAAAACCAACGCCAATGTGTCAGATGGGGTGACACACAAAACGGCTTGACAGGACGAATCACCTCTCCAAGAAAATTTCACCTCACGACCCGGTGGATTTTTGCAAACGCTTGAGCTTGTCGATTGAAACATAGTTTTGATTGAAATAACGACCTTGCACTAGCAAATTTTACGAAACGAATGATTGTTACTCCAAAATATTTTCATTAAAAAATCTCATTTGGTGTAACAGTCCAAACTGGCAATATGTAAATTATATTGTCTCTAAATGAAGTATATATGCAAGCTTTGCTTAACAATAAGTTGTGCTTATGTAAGCAAATATATCTTTGGTTGTGTGATGATCAGTTTTCAAAAATTGAGTTAAGAGATTACATCATCTGAATCAAACAGATCCGTCTAATTTCGAGGACAAAGAAAATATGAATATGAAATGTGACACGTCAGAACACATATCGTCTAAAAATCATGCAAAATGCAGCAAAGCTTCATTCAAAATCAGTAATTAAAGACCTTTACCTTGAAATTATTCTGTGTTGCAAAATAAATTGGTCCTGGAAAGAAAGAGTTTAAATGCAACTTAAATTTATATAAAAATTGCATAATGTAGTCATTCATACTTGTGATGACTCGTTCGAAATTACGCGAAAGCGAAGTGAATCTCTAATACGTGAAGGCATTGCAATGCGATCTTCTGGTGAGTGTGACAAAAAGTGTAGGAACTAACCGAAGGAAAGCCATAGAATGCTCGTACTGTACATTGTAAAGCCAATTAATCGTGTTTCGTTGAAATTTTCCGGAATTTTCCGTGCTTTGAAGGCGTATATTGTACAAGCGATGATCAAGAACATGTTGTACAGTAATGAGATCAGCAAATGAGAAGCCCTGGCTTTGCAAGTTAAAATCGTTTCCTTTCGTGATGGAAATAAGACGTCTGTACCCGGTGGGTCAATAACCAACCACACTAAAGAACCGATTAGCTGTATCGATACAATGCCAAAACATATTGCTATCTAAAATAACATGAACTTATTCTCGTGTTCTTTTTTGGATTTCAAAATTCAATAAACTGTGTATTGAAGCTGTAGCATGTTCGCAAAAATTTTAAATTCGTATAAGTGCAATAAATAATTCTGTATAACAGATTTGTCAATTGATTTCCAACTTATTTTTCATTCTTTTCACGCCGAAGCATTGCCATAAATCAAAGAATGAAATTCAAAAAGATGAAACCTGAGCACTGGGCACAATGCAATCAAGGCGTCCTGCATTCTGCATCAAAAATATTCTGGCAAGAAGATTTGTTTTGGTTAAAATGGCAGCATAAATAGCGGACATTGATAAGCCAATAAGAATCCGCGATGCTGCGCATATTGCCATATTTGGCTTAGATACAAGGACGAAAGTTACTAAATAGCATAATAAAATTCCACCCAACATGAAGTAACATAGTTCACGGCCAGATGCCATTATAATAGGCGTATTATTATATCGTATAAATACCTGTTGAAAAAAATCAATATTAGTTAAGTTCAATTAAATTCAATATCAGATTTAATTTAGTTATAACGAAGCAAAATTAGTGATTACAGAGAAATGACTAATTCTGGCTATTAAATTTTTTTATATTTTGAATTTAAATTTTTAAAAACAGAAGGAAAAAATTACTGCAACAACGCAAAGTGTTGCGGCTATGCCAAGTGTTGAACATATAGCCGGTAGGACTACCCATGGGCTATTATATTCCAACGTTGTCGGCGGTATTAGTTTACACGCAATGAGGTCTTCATTAGGTGCATAACCTAATGGACACTGGACACAACTGTAAATTGATCTCAAAATCTATCTACCTTGAAATAAGCTTAAAAAACAAGTTTAGAATAAAAGTGAACAAAAGTCTCAAGGTTCGGGAGCCTCTTATATTTTGAATTTTACTATTAATTTCGTCCAGTCCCTATACAAACATTTTATTGTTTAAAAGAAATAACATTTGAATCCCTAAAGAGTTTTTGCTCACCTTGTTTCATTAATGATAATAGATGTCGACACATCGCATGGTATGCAACTCCAACAACAATTCTGATCCTGATAAGCACGATAATGCCCTCGTGGACAATCTGTGCTGCATACTGATAACGGCAGTGAACCGCCCCATCTTTTTAGACCTTTTCTGAAGGTTTATGATAATTTCCAAAGCAATAAGATCCTTAAATCTCGAATTTTACAAATTTTTAGACCTTAAAGCGCTTTATCTTTTTAAAAAGAGATTTTATGATAACCTGATACGATGGACATTTAGATCAAGTTTCTTTCCAGCAGTCCATTTGCCAACATTTTGATAGTATCCCATATCATTTAATTGATAAATATTATAATTCCCAATTCCGTCACCGTTTGCATCAATGTGTGGCGGAACATCAGCTATATTAATTATAATCACAGAAATCTTTAAAACGAAATGTAAATTCAAATGTTAGCCTTTTTTTTGAAAACGAAAAAATAAAATCTCCCAGAATTTACTGTGATGGCAAATCATTTCTGATATATTTTTTCTTCTCTTTCTCTACTGTAATATTAAATTTTACGAGCAATTGAAACGTTCCTGTAGTAACTTTGCAATCGTGCGCCATCGAAACCAGTTTTGGAAATATTACAATTGCGGAAGTTTAGTGATGAACAGGTTGCCTATAATAATTGTATGGCATCAATTCTTTCATATTTACACGAAATACGAATAACCTGCTTATTAAATGCAATTTTTCGAGCTTTCGAGCTCAATTCTTGAATTGGAATTGTTTTCAGATACTCAGAAATCAATTAGCCACAAACAGTTGATAAGAGGAGCCTTTAATTGAAACTTATCCTCTCTAATCAAAGAATTTAGTGAACTAAAAAAATCTCCAGTTGCATTGTTTTCTCACTGTGGCATACTGTACTCAAATTATGCATCATTTGAAGTTATACAATACCTGTATGTATTTATGAAGTGCTCTAGCAACAACGTTTACCGCATCGATAACAAATGGTACGTAAGCTTCTTGTTTGAAGGTAATACTGCGCTTGTCGAAACATTCTCCAAAATTAGTGTGTTCATCGGTACAATTAATCAACTCCCAGTACTCGCGGAGAAACGTGTTTGTTGGCCATAACTTTTTGAAATATTTGTCAAAATCTAAATCCAGGATTTAATTTTACTTTAGGAAGAATTAAATTGTAAACGTTGAAAATGTAAATCGAATATTTATTTCACTTTAATTAAAGAAATTTTGTAGCTCATCAGTATACATCATTAGGAGGTATGGTCAAAAATAATCACGTAGCAGTTCAACTGAATTGATTTATGGTTTTCCTACATTGGTAAAAAACCTGGTAATATAACTAATTAGTTTCAAATAATTAAGAAAACCTATGGATAGCAAAAGAATTTATGCAAATCAGAAATAAGACGAAATGTGTTTCAGTTAACTGGAGCAGAAACAGGAGAACATACGTCTGTTATTCCCTTTCAAGAGAAAGAAAATGGTGCAGTTTGATAAAAACTGCATTTTGTATGAGTTGTTTTATATATATATGTAGATAATACAGGTGAGAAAAGGGTAGTTTTGAAATTCTCTGTATATACCTATATTAGTATGACATATAGTGATAGAAGTGATATAAAGAGTTTCAAAACTACCTCTTTCAGACTGACTCAGCTGAGAATAATTAGTCAATAAATTTTCCAATAAGCCAATAGTGCACCTAAAATTCTCTTCTGAAGGATGTAACGTTTTTTTACAGCATATACTTTCAAATAAAATAATACTTTCAAACCTGGCACAACTTTAAGATCAGGTAAAATTGTCACTGCTCCGCTGATCATTGTTTCATAGCCGGTTATAACAGACTGTTTGATTCCCCAAGAATCACTAGCAATCCACCTGAGTACCATTTCTTTCCATATTATTTTCATACAACAAGTTACATTTTTTGGCTCAAAAACGAATATGTGAAGCTTCAGCTATTTCTCCGCTTTTTAATTTATAATTGGTTCAATCGCTAGAAGAAAATTCATTACAAAATTATTGCCTCCCTAGATGATATTATTCTAACACACTGGACACACACATATTAATTTATCCTTTTTTTATATCAAATATCTTTATGACTTAATCTTAATATAATTAACACTTTAGATTTCCATCAAAATTTCGGTAATAACAGCAATACTAATTATCCCAATCAACAATATCACTTTATTTTTTAATTTGTAGATGAATCTGTTAGAAATCTTTTCGTTCAATTTTCATCATCCAGTAGAATTTCCTTGAAATTTAATTTGTTTAAGTTACCCCTATTTGATAACTTTTAGCTTCTTCAAGATAAGGTGAATATCACCCTAAGACCAACATTTCCATTTTGAGTCAAACAAAAGGCAGTCAATATTCTATCGCGATGTCTCATTAATTATACGAAATGTACGCTTCCATTCTCACGAGTACCAGCGAGTCATATACGTTATTTGTTGATTTGTAGTTTTAGAAAGGAAAAGTTACAAGCTACCAAAAGTAATTATTAAAAGTTGAATCCTTGCGCCTGATATCATCTAAATTTGAGAGCATCCGCCTTAATTGGTCCTCATCAACGAATATTACAATACCGCGCGCTTTCTTCGTGTATTTCATTTTAAAGAAAAGCTCTCTGGAAAAGAGTGATGAGAAGTTCACAAAGAATAAGCAAATATAGAAAGTTGAGTACTAAAGAAACTTTGATTCGATAATCACAAAGGATGGAAGGAAAAGTTAATGAATATTTGAAAATGTATGAAGAATTAACAGTAGCTTGGATTTACTTGAACTGAGTATCTGTCCATCGTCGATTGATTTTATGGACGTCACCATCAATACATACACCAACTTTAGCAGCTGCAGCACGAAAAGAATCAATCCCACGTTCTCCATAAGAGCCAGTTATAGCGATTGCATGGACATAAGTCCAACCTAA